ATTTTCAAATCCTTAGCTGCTGTTATAATGAACATTGGACACCATATAATAACATCAATGAGTTTATATAATTAAAAAAGTGGATATTCAGGCATGTCTTTCCCAACTACTTTTTGAATTGTGTTCATTGCAAAAATGTCCTGTGACAAGCTCTGAGAATGGCAATCCAGCTAATACAATGCTTTCTCTGACTTGTTATGGGGACAGCAGTATTACAAACTAATTTTTGTATGTGGCAGCAAATTGGATTTTTTTTGGAAAATTCAAGGCAATAATATTCACATTATACAGATGTGCACATTTTTCCCCGGTATTTCATCTTTGTCAAAAACATCTCGTCTAGTCAGGATGAAATTTCATTTCTATTTAATAAAAATGCAGTGATTCAAAGTTTACACTTGAAAAGTGTCAAAAATAGACACTGAAGTGGTCATTCAGTTGTGTAACTTTTAATCAGGGAACCAATATCAGTTCAATACCTGGTGTGGATTCCAAGCACTAATGTTATATAACTCAGAGTTTAACTATCTCAGTGCAAAAGCAAAGGTTATGGAAACAGAATTTCCCAGGGTTTCTGGCTGTCTGTTTTTGTCTGCCTACATGGTTGCCCTGTGATTAATCCAAATTGTAGTGAAAAGGGAGGGAAACATAAAACACATGGAGAGCTTAACATTTCTGACTTTGAAAAGGGAACCCTTTTTCACTGCTGGTATTATAAAACAAAGACATAAAACACATGAAGTGACATAACTTACTTTGACACACCATCATTATTTGTTATGATAAATTAATAAGAAGCACTTTTGGGTTCTGCCAATTCATTCAGTTCCTGTCACAGCTGATTAGAATTTCTGACTAAGATGTAATAAAATGGAGACTGTATTCGTATATGATAGTTTTCTTTGTTTACTTAATGCAGAACAATTACTGCTTTTTTCACTTCCGCAATCACAATTTTCTCATAAACTTTGAGCATTTCTACCTCTTGCTTACAGGGTTGATATAGAAAGAGTCATTACTCACATTTTATTATTGCCCAGAGCTCTTAGTTACTGTGAAATAGAGGAGTTGTGGTGATTTAAATATGTAACATACAGTCTAACTAATCACATTTGTTCAAAAGATCTATGATTAGCATTATTAAAACAAAATCACAATGTCTGAACCTTCTATAAATTTAATCTTAGAATATTGGACCCTCACTTACGATATTCCAATAGTGTGTACACTGTAGACAACTTCTCATCAGCTTGAATATTACAAATATGAATGGCATTCTGGAATCATCTGTATTCCACTCCAACAGGACTGGCTTTTGCAAACTATGTTCAGGTCATCCTAAATTAAGTTCTCACTCTTTACACACTGAAAAAAAGGTCTCAATTTTTTAAAACTCTTTGATTACCATTATCCTGTGGCATGTTGCAGATCTCTTTTCCTGTTACTACTGTACATTATTGCTTAGTATCCTTCCTTTTTAAAGTTTACTGCTACTACATTTTGCTTCTGGAAATTGCAGGAATACTCTCCTGTAGTAAGCATATACATACTTTAACCAATAACTTTCCATGGGGAACAACACTATCTTTGCTTTAGTCTCTCAAATCCTCATTAAAGGACCTGATTCTATTCTAAGGTTATTTCATGTCATTCTAGCTATTTAAAGAGTCTTTTTCTAGCAATTTAAATAGTCCCTGTACAAAATATTTGCTGCTAAGAGCAGGTAAATGCTTACTGCACATGGGATTAAAGGGTTAAACAAGGGCCTAGCTGAATTGTGATCAATGTAGTTACTGACTTCAGTCAACTCAAAATCTCATTTTCTCTTCATTATTATGCTGAAGATCTTCACTGTATGATGAACTTTTCCTGCTAACAGGCTTCTCTATAATAGAGCTGGACAGTGTGAATGCTGTATTGGCTGGCAGGAATCCCCTAGTTCTACTGCTGGTGCTGATATTCCCACTGTGTCTTTTGATAAGTTAATGAAATTTAATTTAGTGGGAGCTGTGGGTGCTAAAAATACTGAAAATCAACCTTTTTTTACGGGTTTAAATCACATCAATTTAATATTACCACAAATATACTACAGTAACAAATTTAATTTATTTAATTTTGGGGAGCAAGGCTGCCTGCACCACTTAGAAATTTCAGGCAACAGGTTTGCAGTTACATTATCAGGATGAATATTAGAATACAATAAAATTTGCTAAGCATTACTATCCTATAGAACCACTTACACATAAACTATAACTCAGACTTTCTGTGGGGTATTTGAAACCACAAGAACAAAAAATTTGTGAACAGGCAAACATCTGCTTTCTCTATATTTCAGAGTCTGATTATAGGTAAACCATAATAAAAACCTAGGGAAACCTATTCCATTAATATTTACTGGAACCATATTGCCTAGCTAAACACTTTTAGGGCTTTTATTTGCATAAGAATGTCTCATAGTCATTAACAGATTTCATCTGCAGATTACCTTTGGGACATTCTATTCTTTGCTGAAGACAAAAAGTAAAGTAAGTAGGTTTGGCCAAGGTCAGACTGAAATTTGGGCTGAACTGCAAACTGCAATCTTTAAATGCCTTTGCTTCCAAACAGTTTTTCTTCCACCATTCTGTGCTGTAGACAGATTTTTTTTTCTGAAGTTATTATTGCCTTGATTTCTTGTGTCACAGAAATATACAGGGCATGGGAAAACTCAGCGAAACATGCAGCACACATGGGGAACAGCAGTTTTCAGAAGCTGTAATTGAAAGGCTCCTAGAAAGAGCCTGCTGCAGCTCCTCCCAGCACAGCTCTGTGCCAACTGCAGCCATCAAGGATGGCTTCATTCATTGCCCAAGCTGTTGTAGCCCGGAGGCAAAATCAAGGGAATTAAGCTTTTTAAGCTCCTCTTCTTTCTTGTAGCTGTTGCCCAGACATTTTTCTGCATGTGATGAAGAGGTAGCCAGCAGCTCTCTTGGGAGAAGGTTTTGGTGTGTCTCAAGCTTAGGCCAACCCCAGAGCCTCATGGTCGCCCTCTGTGAAGAAGGCAGCACATTTTTTGATGTGCTACAAACACCACTGTTTGGTAGTGCTTGCCTCAGACGGGATGGAGAATGGAACAGATGTTCTTTTTATGTATCTTTGGTGGAAAGGCAGCATTTCATGGCACTGCTGCTTGGACCATTTCTCTTTCATTTAATTAAGAAAAGATGAAATGTGGGCAGTAATGGATGGAAAGGGCCTGGTCCCATGCTCAATGAGCTCAAGGGAATCACTCCTTCAGATAAATGGACACTGCATTAGGGGTTAAGCGCCACATGGCTGTACAGACTGCTGACACAATCACTGTAATTCACAAAATGGCTTGTTTTTAAGAGACACCCTGAAGTCTCCACGTGTTTAGAAAAAAAAGAGAGAGAAAGAAAGAAAGAAATTTTCCTCCTAAGTCTGCCTAATCTTCTTAACTGTATCAAAAGGCATGGGAAGATTTAGGAAAATGAAGCTCAGAGGAGAAGAAAGAGCCAGCCAAAGGATTTTTGAAAGTATTAAATATTAGTAGGGGATGATATGAAGGAATACAATAGAGCCACAAGGTTTGAAGATTTACCTGTTCTCTGCCATCAGGTGCAATGATTATTTCCTCATCTGCCATTGGGAAAAGATTCTTTGAGGGTAGAAAAGGCAATTTTGTAATCCTAACCATCACTCTTACTGTTATTATTAAACCCTTACATAAGGGAAATCTAATAGGTTCTTTGAAAAGCAAAGACCAAATTAAAGAGGAATTTCACTTGCAAAAATACAACCTGTAAACATGAGAGACAAAAGGTAATACAAAAATTTCAAACCAACTCTGAAAAAGCCTCATGCAGTTATTTTAATTATTGCTGTCCCAAATTTAAATTGTATTTAGCTTTTAGAGGTTTTGTACAAATGAGATGTACTTCGGGTTATTCTGTTTCAGGGATACAAACTTAAAAGCATCCATGATTATGCAAAGCATAGCAAAGCCTGCTCTGATAAGCCTTAATGCTGTCTAAAATGAACAACAAATGATGGACAAAAGAGCACCCAAGCACTTGGACAAAACCCAGAAAGTCTAACTCTGCCATTTTGGATGTTTGAACATTTCATTGGAGTTTAACACGTATGTATTGCTTCTTCTCTTAGAGAGTGTTTTATAGTGTAAAAGATAATAGTGTAAAAGAATGCTAATAGTGTAAAAGATAAAAGATAACTGCAGTTACATGCAGCTTGGAGAGAAATAAAGCAGGTTTATACAGGTATCCATAATTTTATGACGGTTCTAACTTCAGTTTCTATGCATCATGCCTTCTTCACACACCTCTGAATTTCATGGATTCTTGTTCTGTATGGCATGATGGGTTAGATGTTCAAGGTGCATTGGGTGACATTTAACCTAAAGTATTACATATAGGAAAACTTGCTCCTACTAATCTCTCAGTCCTTACTGTCCTTTTGGATAAACTGATCTGGCTGCGAGGCCCTGAAATTTTATGGATTAAAAACAAACAAATATCTTCTCGCTCTCCTATTCTATTCCTCATATCATCTTCCATCTCTTACTCCTAACATTCTTCCCACCCTTTAACACATTGTTGACATTACCTACAGACAGAAGATGGGTCAGGTCTGTTAGGTTTATCAACCAATCCCTCTCCTACCATTCAGGTAGTTCAACATTACCTGTGAGGAAGCATAAAGAAAAGAAATACAGGAAATATGTTCCCACAAGCTTTTAGCACAAATCATAGAAAAATAGAGCTGAAAAGCTTCTCACCAAATACATAAAATGCTGGTGTCATGCTGAGGGAAGAGAAGGGGAACAAAGGCCAAGCAGCTAAATCTGATACTAATAGGTCAAGATTTGTCAAGTGTCAATGGTATTGGGTAAATAGAGACAGATTCTACACCTAAATTCCATACCAAGAGGAGTTGGGTTTTCAATCTTTGCCTTGACAAAAGAAAATACTAGCACAAATATATTACAGAAACAAATTTAATTTATTATGAATCATTAACGTTCAACTAGCATTCACAGACACCGTTGATATTTGAAGCAGTTATACCAATGCTTGCACTACAAAGCATGCAGCCAAAAATAACTGTAGACAATAACTGTTAGTATTCAAAGGGTTTCAAAGGAAATCTCCACCTGGTTATAAGGAGTATTTTATTGGGAACAATTGGAAAGCCAATAATTGTACGTATTTTGGATCAATTGTTGTTCTCTGCAGTAGTGCTGGGGAACTGTCAGTTCCATTGCTGGAAATGATCCTTATAATGTAACCTCAATCAAAAGATATAATAATAACATTGATTTCAAATCCAGCTGTTAGTTTTCCAATAAACTCCCGACATAACAGCTGCTATTTTTTCTCCATGAATCATATTTTGACTGTGATCTCTTTGTGCAACTGCATCGTAGTGGTTTATTAGTAAAAAGAACATAACTTACAGCTTTTCTCATGGTTTTCATTAAGTCAAATTTTGTATTATTTCTTTGACCTTAATAGTAAAATCTAAGCTTTCATTTATTTAACCTTAGTCAGAGAGGAAAAAATGCTTTTACAGTCTAGACAAGAAATCTGAATAAATTGGTACAGTGAGTATAAAGTCCACAGGGTAATGTGTAAATGTAGATTCTTCTTTTCATTATAAAATACAGCCATGAAGTACTTATATGTAAAAGCTGCACTAAATTTTAACAATATACCACATTGCAAATCTATATTTTAAAGTGCTGGGATGTTTTCTGCTACCAAATAAATTTTTATCTGTGAAATAGAAATATGGCCTCATAGCCTATAAATATGGGCTTTCCTTGTCTTGGAAGGTTGTGAGATTTATCTAAATATGAATTGTAGGTAACAGAAATGACACACTGTAACTTAACATGATTAGGTGAAGATAGTTACATCTAGAAAACTGTTTCCTTGTATTACAGGAGTCATCTTTGTGGGAGGATAAAAAAGAACAATGTAATATATAACACACCAGTAAAATAAAACAACACTCCACTCTGGTTTTTTCATCATTTCAAAGTAAATGAATCCCCATTTTGTATTTCGGGGTGATATATAGTAAACATTTGTGGGAAGGGGTTTATGTAGCAAATGTTATTTAAACTAAAAAAAATCATGCAAATTCACAGGGACTTAATATTTTTTACTTATTTGACTCTTCTTTAAAAATGGTCTGTGCCTTCAATAGCATTTCTCATCCAGCAACCTCAATATGTATGTTGTAAAGATGAATGGATGAGGTGGTTAGAGTTAATGATCTGTATCATATTGCATCCATTTAGCTAAAAATATATAATCCCACACAGTTTGGTTTATATTGACTCTTATTCAAGAACTACATCTTTGAAAGGCCATCATGCTCTCCTGACAGGTTAGAAGATGAGAATAAATAAGACAATATACTCAGTTTTCTGTTTTATAGATAAACTCTACAGGCTATTTGATAGTTTTACTTCTTATATTTTATAGTGATATTAGAGTTATTTATTACCAAATTACAGTCACATTGCATTTTATCACTTAAAATTTCTGTGCTTTGGAAACATTTGTAGTTCATTTTATTTCTGCTAGCATAAACATATGCCAGCAGAATATCTGAGTGTGCATGAGTATATATTCTGAATAAATACATCTGATTTCAACAATTTTTATGCATCCCTATCAACTGCATCCTTTTGCTACGACAGAATGAGATTCACCTAAAAGTAACAGTTACTAAAAGATATGATGCAATTTTAAATAAAATAATTGCAAAGAGACTTAGACAGTACTAGATGTAGTTTTTGGAAGAATGATTTCGTATGTTTCCTGAGCTCAGAGCTGTCCTGTGTTTCTTGGTTAATGCTGCCTTTTAGGATTACACTGTTGTGCTTCAAGTGAACTGAGAAAAGTCATGGGTAGTTTGTGTTTGTTATTTCCTCAGGTGTGTTGGGTCAACAGGGCTGGACTGGATATGCCACATTCAGAGAGGACATTTTCAAGTATCAAAAAAAGGCTGTAAAATGAACAGTGATATTCATTTTGTGACTTTTTTACTTTTTGTTTCATCTTTATCATGTCTAAAATAATCTGTAACCTCCAGTATACTGCTCTCAATAAGGGCAGATAGATTTCACAAAGTACCATTGTCAGGTTTCACCTAAAATATGTGTCTCCAGCCTGTGGTACAATAGTTATACTTATCACATAATAAGTTCCGGGTGTTGAACACATGAACACAAACATGCATCTAGGCAGTGTAGAACAAACTGTCTGCAGGGTCCTAAATATGCATTTAAGGATCATCTGTGCTCTCAGCAGAACCAAACCTAAGTGTGATTCCAGGCAGGAATTTCAGTAATTTTTTGAGATACATCAATATCTAAAAATATCCTTTTACCATAGGAGAACCATAAATTCTCCTATGTTAAAAGGAAAAATACTCAAAATAATATCTAACTGAAAATGAAAATCACTTTTCACCATGGTTGGAGGGGGTTAGCTGTGGAGATCTACAAGTATCTACAAGAGAACTGGTGTGCCTCAAGTTATTTATTAATGATGCAAAAAGAGCCTCTGCAGTGACAGGATGAAATTTACTGATGTGATCAAATTATTCAAGGTACTAAAGACAATATCTACAAAAGGCTCAAAAGGATTTTATGATACAGAGTGACTGAAAGATAAGAGTGGCAGATAAAATTCAGCATTAAAAAATTCAAAGTGATGTATCTAGAAGAAAACCAATTTAAACCACATGGATACACCAATGGCATCTAAATTAGCCAGTACTCAGAAAAGATATCTTAATGCTTTCGTGGGCAGAAAATAAAAAGTTTATCTTTAAAAACGGGACGATGATGATGATGATGATGATTATGAATTGTTAAAACAGAATCAAAGAGCTTGTCAGAAATTACCACTAGTGTCACTGCATCATCCCTTGGTTTACCTGTACCTTGAATATTGCATACATGCTTGTTTTCTTCACCTTAAAAAAGATACAGGAGAATTAAGAAGAATTAATGAAGTTTGGCAATTATAATTAGATCTAATAGATCATCTTCTGTGAAGAAAGAGATTAAATAAAACACGATATTTTAATTTGGAAAAGATGCACCAAGTAAAATATGATAAAAAACTATTAAAAAATTATTAGAGCAGAACAATGATAGATAACTATTTTACTTTTACAACAAAATAACAGGGAACATAGAATGATATAGTTAAGAAACAAATATAAAACTACTCAAGGTACTTATCACACAGAACACATAAGCAAATTGTTCACGGCTGCACAATATTCTTGAGTAACAAAGAAGGTATTTGTTTGGTTTGGTGGGGGTTTTTTGAATAGCACTATTTGAAGAAAAAAATCATCAAATGCTACTAAGCACCAGAGTCTATCTTAGCAACTCTATTAGCCAGAGATTGCTGGAGAAATAAGTCTATCAGAGACTGTTTGACTGAACTCGGGATCTGTCCTCGCAGTCTTTGCTTCAGCTTTCAATGAAGCAGGCTGCATGTTGTGCTCTTTCCACACACTGCCTTATTGACAAGTTCTCAGCAAGATAAACGTTTTCTTCCCAAAGTATGAGCATACCTTCCATTGCATTAAGAGGAACTACTGTTTAATAGCAGAGATTACATCAGTTCTACATATTTTTAAATTATCTCAGCTGAAGAAGCCTACGTCTGACAAGCCAATTGCTGTAGGTATCACTATAAACAGTGTCAGTGCCTGACACCAGCCCTAAATAAATCACTGAAATTACTTCCATTCCTGTTCTTCAACAGGCATCTTAACACACTAGAACCAGACCCAGACCAGCCCTGCAGACCCAGATCCAAAGAACAGGCAGCATCTAAAGATGCATCTCTAGTCATGAGGTGCTGAGGGATAGATTTGTACTTCTAGGCCACTTTGTGGAACACCAGTTTCAGAGAAGGAACTATGTGAACACCCATCTCTAATTTCCCTAGATTTTGAGACCCAGGCCATGCCAGTGCGTATCTGACGCACAGGGTCAGAGAGCTGCAGTTTTCAAGCTTTGATAAACCACACTTCCTTCTTCTGGAAGGCCCTGCCTCTGAGCCTTCATGCTGCTGATACAGAAATGGCACATGTGAGAGACTCAGACAGGGGGCTTGAGTGGGTGAAAGTTGCTCCTATATTTCACAGATAGCTGCAGTTTGCACATGCAAAGGAAGACCATACCTGAGAAGTTAGAAGGCAGTGGAAAGGATAGTCCTTATTTGCAAAGGTATAGAGTAACATGGAAAGTCAGGGGACAGTGCAACTCCAGGCCAGGTGACATTTTGGGACACTTCTTTAGTCCAGCCAGCCCAGTTTTCTGTAATCCTGAAAAACACAGGTGCCTACAGCAGAAGAAAGAAGAAGAATGTTCATATAAACCAGCAAATTTCAGCATAAACTTTCCTAACTCTTGTCCATGACTTCTTACTCACCTCTAGATGGAAAATCTCTTCAGAAAACAATCATACATTTTGTCTCCTTCCTGCCCAGCAAAATCAAAACCCACTCAAATAGCCCTAACACCACTGTAGATGATGTGACCTGTTGGATTTTTACTTGTTCACTTACATGAACTGCTGAGAATTCCAAAGGGCCTGGAAACGGTGATAAAGGTGTCAAGAGAACATTTCCCATGTGTGTTTTGACAGAAGACAACCTGAGCAGGATATATCAATTCATGAAAACAGTGAAAACCTTTGGACTGAAAGAAATTTTCTTTCCCAGTGAGTGGGTCCACTCTGCTGGCCATATGCCTGGAGTAGAGTATAGGGTTCAGCAGACTGTTGACAGTCAGCCTCATTATGAGGCCTTGCTCCCAGATTGCTAATTTAAAAAAATGTACACTGCTTCCTTTAACCCATATATAAATGATGGATTAGAGTCACGCCTGGGGGCCACGAGTTTTCTTCTTCTCCTCAAGAAACTTCTGCAAGTTCTCAATAAACTAAGAGATAAGCCTTGATGAGGTAAATTATTATGTGTTCTGCAATGCAACATCCCCATGGAAAACTCATCCTGTGTCATTTTTGCTGCTTGGTAATATTTCTTTTTCTCTTCTACAACTGCACAAGTGTGTAAAACTTCTGCTACTGCTCTCCACCAATTTTCCCCTTCCTTCTATTTTCTCATCTCCCACTTGTTTCTTGATGTATTTTGTCCCTTTCTCTATATCAGGGACAGAAAATTGAAGCAAAATTGGTGAAGAACTTGTCTTATCAGAAATGTCATAGGTTACAGATGTTTGTTACAAACCAGCACTATTTACTTTTCTGAGCATCATGAGAGTCACACACAGCGGTAAAGCTGAGCTATGTCAGGGTAGACAACACCAGAGTCCATAAAAGTGATGGAAGGAGAAAGAGGAGGGACAGGAACATAAAGCAACAGTAAAGGAGTAAACTGCTAGCAGTACCAACCTTTTCCTTGCTAAGTGGCTGCTTACCACAAAACTCCAGGGACTTTTAAAAAATGGTGATTTTGTGGAATTTTAAATGAAAATAAGAAGCAAATTTCATTGTGCATAGGCTTCTCCTCATTCCTCTTTGCATTCATGTCATAGACTTTCAAGAAAGAATTTTCCATTTAATTTTCCACTCATTCATGCTTTTGTCCAACAACTCATGCAAGTACTACATACCTATATGCAGGTTTACAAACTTGGCAAGTACTTTTTGCTTTTACTTTATACTGGAGAAGAAATAATTCCATTGCTGTGAACACTCTCCAAAGAGGAGCAGGTAAATGACACCCAAACCAGCTGCCCTGGGAAACACAGAAATCCCCCTTGGCTGGGGCAAGGGGACAGGATGGAGTCTCTTGGCTTTTATCAGCTCTTTAAATCCTTTTTCTCCAGTGGTGTTCTGACAGTTTGATCCCAGATCTCTCTGTGTTTAGTGATGAACTGCATCATGTCAGACACCATGCTCTAGGCCTTCACTGCACAGGAGCTGCTGCACCCAGGGAATACATTCCTGCTGTAATGTGGCACTGTGATGCTTCTTCACGCAGAATAAATCGGTTTGGGGTTTATGATAAAAAGTAATGTGCAGCACACTCAACTATGCTCACACTGTTTTTAAGTGTATTTTATAAAACTTTATGATTGGATTCTTTCATGGAAGGTTTGATGAAAGGCCCTGTGAGTGATGGGAGGGCTGTGAAGATGAGCAAAGGTACAAGCTTACACTGCCAGGAGCTGGGACTGGGACTCAGGTTTGTAGTAATTCCCCTGGAGCAGTGGTTTGATATTAGTTTAGAACTTCTATCTGTTCATATTTAAATTAATCTAGAAAAAGCTGACAAGCAGCAAAGAGAAATAGAAGGCAAAATGAGGAAAAACTGAGCTTATGCACAGGGAGCCATTAGCATTCCATACTGAAAACTTTATCATGCACAGATCCCTTAATATTACTTCCATATGTTATAGAAAAGGGAGAAATGAAAGAAATTTAATTTGACCACAGCAGAAAGAGATTTTTAGAAGCACAAATATAAAATTGTACTTAAAATTTTGATAAAGATGAAATATTTATATCACTATATCTGCATTACCTCTATGTTTTCTGAATAAATATTATGGCAAGGAACATATCAACATTACAAGTTCTAGTCTAGTCTATCACTACAACTGCTGGCTAATTTTATTTGAATGCTACTCTGTCATCAGAGTATGGTTCAATTACAGTTATATACATAAACATAGCTGTTGCTTAGCATTTAGAATACTCTTGCCTTATGTTCGCTGTTTTTTTTTTTTTCTGTCAAATATTTCTCTATATCCTTTCAGTTCCCCTGGTGAATTATTATAGTCAACATCACCATCAGGTCTTCCTGCTGCTTTCAGTTCTAATTTTATTTTCAACTTTACCCTTTTGTTGCTTTTTGCTCATCTGCACAGACTGAAGAGAAGTCATGAGGCTTCTTCCTCTAAATCCCTCTGGAATTAACCTTTCTGCCCTCCCCAGACTATTAACTAATATATTCACCTCTTCTCCTTAAACTGGAATCATTGCTATCTCCTTGTCTGTGGTCATCACATCTGAAACCTCACCCTTAAAGTCTGCTGCAGACACTAAAGATCACCATCTTCCTTGCTTCTGTGTACCAGGTGACACAGTTTATATACCCCCAATCTTTGTGTTCTCCTACATGAGAAAAGTTTCTGGTCCCTGTCACAAGGCCTCTCGAAGCTGATCTTGCATTGATTCCAGAGCAACTCTCAATGCAGTGATGCTAAACATGCATGATTTGGGATTTTCTACTGCTCTGAGGAATTCCTTCAAAACCCTTTCCTACCTCATGGTTTTAGACTTACAAAATCCACTTTATCCTCTCTCCTGTTGCTCTCATCTCTTCCATACTGCAAACAAGAATCTGATTCACCAAGAAGGGAAGTATGACTGGTGGTGCTGCATGGCCAAAGACTGAATACATTCCTTTTCAAGCACTGATTTGTCTTTCTAATCCTGTGATATGTCTCACCCCCTTTTAGCTTGCAAATCCATGATTTGCAAGCCAGGGCCTATGATTTACAATATATTTGTATATGTGGCATGTGCAGTGTTTGACTTCCAGTAGCGATTTAAATTACCTGTATTTTTTGCAGAGTTTTGGTTTACTTTTCCATAGTCTAAGCAGATGAGAGCTTTTCATGTGAAAAAGTATTTTTTACATTCTCCATCTTGTTTAGTTAGTAATGATAATCAACATAAACAATTACAGAAAACTTTCTTTTTTACCATTTACTTTAGTTTTCTAGCAGTTTTTCCATCTAGAAAGACACAGATGACTAAGCCTATTTTAGGTGTGATGATGAAAAACTAGAATTGTTTTTTATTTTCATTTTCCTACCCAGTGAAGTATCAGCAATGTAAAGAGTAAAATTCCAGAGTGCATGTCAATAAAATGAAAAGAGTACAGGTAAAACAAAAGCAGACAGAAGGGAATTAACAAATGCACACTGAAGATGGAAATAAAGGATAGAATTACCTTTTGATCTGCTGTTCTGAGAAGTCTCTGATGTAGAGGGAATGATTTTCTTTCTATGGAATCCTACAGAAACACAGAAGTTTGCCTACTTATTAAATACAAAAGGTTAAGCAAAGTCTTAGGAAGTTAATTCAAAATTCAAGACTAATTTAGGTTTCTTGAAATAATCATTATGACCACAGCACTAGCCTCTTCTTACATATTTGCCTAAATAATAGTTATAATAAAGTTAAATAATTAAAAACCATTCTTGTCAGGAGAGGATTTTATGCTCAATCCTGAAGAATGACACTTGAATGTCTAAGTAAAGGGCATGCCTACAAGATACTAAATTGATAAATTGGTACAGAAAAGCTGAATTAGGAATTTGAATATGCTTTGAAAGTTTAAGACTGTTTTAGAGAGGAAAAAATTGAAACAATTAAGGAAGATTGCAAATTACAGAAAGAACAGTCTGAAAGAAAACATGTCTAGTATAAAAGATTGACTAAAATGCATAAAAAAGGAATAGACAGGAAAGGAGATGAAAAGAAAAAACGTTATAGACACAGTAAGCCATTATAGTTCTTTTGTTTTATGGAGGGCTAGCTCAAGTCCAAATTTTGCCATCTCTCATTGTCATGGTGGATTTAGCCACTTTCAATAGCACATGAGCCTGTAGTGCTGGCCCTTGAGCAGATGCAGCTGTGCATTGGTCCCTCAGCCCCCCAGAAGAGAAAACGCTGCTGCTGAGCTCTGTGGGCACAGCTCCTCTCTGGGTACCGGCATCACAGGGAGGTTCCTGCTGGGACAGGACGGTGGCACTGGGGACACTGCTGTGCTGCCTTGGATTTCTGCAGTTTCCTCAGTTCTTCTACCTTGTACCCCCCCATAGTAAAAATGCAGTGAGTGGGACAAGATGAGGGCAGAAACGAAGTCTGGCTCCAGAGCAGCAGGTTCTTACTGACCTAACAACTACAAACTCGTGACTCTCTGCTGAGAGCCCAGCCTCAGCTGGATCCCAATGGTCACTGAACCCAAACATCCTCCACCAGAATCCAACCCAGCCATCACTGCAGGTAAACAATCTCCACACCACATTCCACATCGGAAAACAAAGGAGAAAATGCTCTCTGTGCTTTTCCTGAGAGACAGAATTATGTCTTTCTGTCCAGATAACGTCAATGTCACACCCCCTCTTTCAGTGTGAGTGAGCAGGGGCTTCTGGCGATAACTTAGTAAAACAGGAGGGTGCAAATGCACTGATTTTCCATCATGCTCAAGTCCTGCACACCCTCCCAAGACACATGCCAGCTCCTGCCAGGGTAGTGTGAAGGCAGCTGATATCTGCCAAAAGTTTCCAAGGTCTTCTGTCAGTCAGCCTAGATATAATGGGCTTCTCCAGGAAACAAAAGGATATAATCAGGCTTCTTACCCTCACTTTGAAAGTAGACAGTAATTTCAGAAATCTCTAAAACATATTCCAAATTTTTGTATTGACAGCTACATTGCTTTGGAGAAAATAACTTCTCTCACAACCAAGCGTGTTTTAACTTTTACTTATGAATGACTTCATACCTGACTTCTGTATTTTTAAATGTATGTGCCTCTAAGGTAGAAGATGTAAAATCTAAAATAATTACTAAGCCTTGTAGCCAAAAGGAAAAAAAAATTAGAATCGTACTTCTGTGCTGGAACATTAACCTATCAGAATTACATCAGGCTCAGGTTTTCACACTGGCCAGGGACATGCTATAGCATGCTGAATAGGATTCTTTATCTAACAGTGACACCTTAGAGTGTTAAATTACAAAATAATTTTCAAGTCCAACTACTGGAAAAACTGCCTCCTCTTGGGTTAGTCACAGTTCACAAGTAGGAGCAATTTTACCATTTTATACTTTCAGTGACATCTCCTTTTAATATTTTTTTTTTAAAAATCCTGTCTCCTAGAGTTTTTGTCTTATGCTGTTGCTTGAGGATTTAAACTTTAAATGTCAAAGTCTATCAGAAATGAAAATGTTCCTCTGGAAAGGTGAATCAACTCATGCATTAAGGAAACGATGTCACAAATAAAACCTTCATGTTCAGAAAAAACTAAATCTGGGTCTATTGATAAAATAAATGCTTAGTTCCAGTGTTTGGTTTTCAGCCATAATGATGGGATTGATCATACAGGCAAAGGTAAGAGTATGAATAAATGCTTTTGAGAAGCAATTAGAAGCAAGCAACAATTTTTTGCAAAGTAGACTGATGTTAATTAACAAATAATTAATAAACTGAATAAGTTTCTTCATATGGAGTGAAATAAGGATTTATTTTAAATAAAGCCTGTTATTCTTATGACTCATCTTGGGGGGTTTAAAACAATTTAATATTTTAAAAGAGCCACTCAGGGTCTTTCAAGGATGTATGAACCTGTGAAGAGAGATCCTGAGGGAAAACGATTTAAGCAGTGCAATGTCACTGGAGTGAACTGTTTTTTTCCTAGAGTTTATGACAACTTTTTTAACCTATTTTGATCCGAAAATCTACTGTTCTTCATTTCTTCACAAACTGAAACAGAGATGTAACTCTAATCACAGAACTAAGTAATTTTATATTTATAATGGGTAGTTTCACTACAGAATCTGCAGTAAATTTTGGAATGTAAATTACTGTCTGACTTCATTATTATATAATTACATTCTAATGGTCTAGATTAGCTACAGTGTTTGATTGTACTGCTTACACTACAAATAATAAACATTATTGCTTAAAAGGTTAGATATTTCATGTCTATTAAGAAGTCTTTCTCAATGGAAAATAGTATTTCAAATATATAGTGGAGCATCATACTCCACATAGCGATGTAATACCGAGAAATATCATAACTGATGCTACTAAATGAAAATTTGACTAAATACTGACTATCTTAAAATTCTAACTGGTGCTAGTTAGCAAGATGAATCTGAGTAAGTTCATGCCAGTTTGCTGTGGCTGTGCGAGGCAATGTCAGTAAGGAGGAGTCACACAAGCTGCATTTGAGATGTGGATGCAAACTGTGAAAGTCAGCCAGCCTCTGGAGCTCCCCTGTTTATCTGCCTCCCTGCTACGAGGGCCAAGGCAGGATTGCTGTTTCCTGCCTTTCCCAGTGTCAGGCTCCAACCATCCCAAGCTTATAGATGATCAAATAAGCTGTATTCTGCTGCTTAGCATGTGCAGGGGGTTAGATCTGTTTATATTTACTGTATATACCCCTGAAGACTTGGGTCTAGAAGTACTGCAAGCACAATATATATAAAAATAAACATATATTATATAACCATAAAATCTATGAGGCTGCTTACATCTCAGCAAGAGCTTGGTGACCTAGTAAAAGTTATATCTATGTCTGTGTTTGAACATTTCACTGAATGAAGATTGTCCCCCACATCATGACCTATAAAGAAACAATTCTGCATCCAGCCAATGGCTTTAGTCTTTTTTTTTTCCATTTTACCACTATATTTAGGTATGTATAGGATCTAAGGGGGTAAAAAGATCTGGTAAATGCTGTAACTTTATCTGCCCAGCCAGATCTACAAGAGCTTGTTTGCTTAGAGCTTTTGGGCACCAGAGTGACCTCCCTGTTTTAAGTGTCATTCTGGAAATTGTGTCCTTCTGTCACATTCTTTCCATTTTGCATCCTTTGTCTGCACTTTGGACCCTTTCTAACACATGAGTGGACCAGCAGCATGATGCACCTTAGCAGGGAATAAAGCATGGCCACTTCTTTGCCTGTTATTTCAGTTTGCTCTGGTTATTTTCTTTAAAAATCACTATCTGGAGAGAGGGGAAGAGAAATGCTACTAGGGGACCTGGAATATGCTGTAGGTCATGATTCTCAAGCATAGTACTGCAGCTTTTGCAGTCAATCACAACTGCACAATGTAACAGAGAAAATGAAGGCAGAAATCTCCCTGCATCCTCCAAAGCCCAGGCATTCCCTCTTTGGAAAACCAGCCATGATACGCACTGACACAAGCCAGCTTGGATAAATGCTGTGTTTTGTGCTCACATGGACTACCACAAGGATTTCTAGCCTCAGATGTGGGATGTAATAGTAACAGAAAAGTCATATATGTATAAAATTTACAAGCATGCTGTAGGCTATTCATCTCCCTGCTTCCCTCTCTAACCCCATGAGGTTTAAAAGGCTGATATACATTTTACATCCTTTCATCACATGTGAGGTAAGAGCATAGAAAACCTCAGTATTCTCAGGTCTAGGACTTGTATGATACTGCAGACCCCAGCACAATTCCCTGGGTTCACAACAAGTTCAAGTTTCCAACCTTTAAAGAGATTAGGCTCATTGTATTGTACAAGGCTGGGGTTTTTTTTTGACATTTATGCTTGAGTACCAGAAACATACATTTAAGTGTTTGTCTTAAAACAAAGAGATAAAAAACGAATTTTCTAACTGAATACAAAGTAAACCTGTGACCTTGACCTCAAAAACCCCTCCCAGGCTGATTAAACACCCATTAATTTAGTGTTTGCCAAAATATTTTACTTAGGGCAGGTATGAAAGACCTAGACTAGTCCCAGCATTTATATGTTAAATACACAGCACACAGCTATGATTATAAATCTTCTCTAGATGTAACAGCTTGCTAGGCCTCTGTTATTTTGAGAGAAGAGGAGGAAGAAAGGAAATCTTAGTCAGTGAACTCACCCGCGGCCTCACAAATTGCCTCATCCATTGCCACTAATACGAGCTTACCAAGCAGAATTAATTTCTTTGCCACCATGATCTTTTTTCTAGTCCAGAGATCAAGGTCATGTTACACCCACAGAACATCAGCCAGATGTGTATTAGTCTTCATGAGACGTCCTAATTCTTATTCTTGAGGCAGGAGCCACTAGTGGCCTATTAGCTATTATATATTATAAAATCTTTCATGTATTTCTGTCATTTACAGCTCCTACAAACTGCCCTTGCACAATGCACTAATACATAAGGCTTGGGAAACTGACCTCTAAAGAATATTAAATAGCTGTGTGGCAGCTAAAAACCAATTATCTCTGTGACTATTTAGATATACCTAAGTAATTTTTAGCATTTATAGTGTTGGTAATGATCCCTCTTGGTGCTTTGATATCCCAAATCATGGCTAATCTATGCTCACTGCTTTGTGTTACAAATGCAAATGTGTTTGCATTGATATAAATACTAGACAAAATTAAATTAATGCCTTATTATTTTCAAGCTTATACATGCTAAGCTACTTGGAGCTGTCATTTTCTTTTCTATGATCTAATTACAAAGCCTAGAGGGATACAGAGAGGAAACCAAGTATTTGAGGAAATGGGATATACATGCTCCAAAGTAGTCACGAGCTCAATGGGCTGCGGGAGCAAAGCCCACCAAGCTGAACACAGGCTAACCGTCAGCAGAATGTGTAGGAACGATAATAAATATCTAAGTACAAATGAAAAAAAGCATCCCAGGAGAGCAGTGCAGCTGCCGTGTGACTGAACCTGTGTAGGAAAAAGCTATTTTATGCATTGTTAACAGAATAAGTAAGAAAGCAACGTTTGTGTGCCAAGACTGTGCTCCCTTGGCTGCACCCAGACCCAGCAGGACCTAACTTTGCTGCCACACTGACAGAAGGGAGATGATGAGTCTTATTTTGAATGAAACCCCCTGTCCTTAATGGTAACAGGCAGTTTCTGAGATTTTTTTACTCCAAGTTAGTGATTCTCTTGTTCTGCACAGATTTTTAAGCATGCCTGGAGACAATTCCACCAGAGTAATAAAGATAATCTCAGGTGGTTTGAAGGAGATTGAGGGAAATAGGAATAATGATGTTTCATATGATCAACTAGAATAGAAATTTTAAAAAGTAGTATCATGGAAAAGGAAGTAGTAAACTTGTACAATTTTACCTGGGGTAAAAATGATCCATTATGCAGTAGTATGAGTCCCCTCAGCAAAGCCTAGATCAAGGCCCAAAACTTCCCTACATTTAGATAAAAAGGGAATAAAATTATTCAGGGTTCTGCATTCCAGTACACAATAGAATCCTTTTTACCACAGTTGCCACCCAAATATTTAAACTACCTGTACAATATATAGAGCTATGCATGATTTAAATGTCTTCCCAACTTCAGAAATTAACATTGCAACTTTGCAGCTCCTAAGCAAGTTGCTTCTACAATAATAGAACTTTAAAACTCTATGGAAGTATATGTTAGAAATTGCCTGTTCAAAGAAATTTATGATTTTATTATAGCTGCATATTGACTATTCCTACAATAACCTGAAGGCAGAACCAAACAGTTTATTTATTCAAACTGCAAATGAAATCGGGCAAGGAAAGTAATTAGCAAGCAACAAAAAATAATGGAAAAGCACCATAAAAGCGGTTGTGAATTTATGTGGGTTGTCAGCTAGTTAGAAAAATAACAGCTTAAATTTAAAAAGATCAACTTTTTTTTTTTTTTATACACAGCACACAGTATATAAAGATTAACCAGGAAGCTGGTTTTGAAAAAGCCCAGAAATCACAGGGTACTCTGCACGTTGCCCCGCCACTGCTGCTTATGAGCAGAAATGTTAACTCAAGAATCAGAGGTGCCCTACAGGCACCCTGGGGGATAGATTGAAGCAATGCAAATAATATAAACTAAAAGAAACTAATTTTCCACAATACAGATCCTGTGGAGGGTTCTTCCCTCTGCAGTATTTAATTTTTATATTAATAGGCTACATTTCTTGTCTGTGAAAATGAAAACTTCTTAGAACTAGGAAGTTTTCTGTAGGGCCAGTGATCTGCCCCATTTTCCTCTTAACTGTACCCCCATACAGCAAACTCTCAGCTACAGCCATGCCCCAGCTTGGGCACCAGAATGTTCCATAACCAGGCAGTTCAGTCCCTCTGGCTGTCTGGAACTTCAGGTTACACACTGCTCCCTCACCTCCTCCCTGTCTGAGGAAAGACTTCAATTTTATGAATAGGCAATAGTTCCTCAAATTTCTGAACTGAGTTTAAGTCACAAGTTAGCTGTGAAAAATTTGAGTGTCAATTCATGTAGTAATGTTGCTTGTCTCCCATTTAATCCATTATCCTTTCTACTATCACTCCTCTGCCCTAACTCCTCAGTCCCTTCCATTCTAGCTCTAAATCTGCCTTGGTTTAATTCTCTCTGAGCTGGTTTCCATTCACATGTGATGCTCTGACCCCTGGTGCTGCCACTCCTTTCCCAGCTGGGGAGGCCATGGACAGGAGGCTACTGGACCCAGGAAAACGAGCCCAGAACCCAAGGCCAGCACAAGCCAAACAGCCCAAGGGCCCTGGCCAGGGCTGTGCCAGGACAGAAATATGCACCAGCAGTGGCAAAAAAAAGATCACAGTGTTTTTTGCTTTTTAAACTATGCTAAGACCTTCTCAAAAGGCACTCTTATTTAATAGGACTCTCTCATTTCCCCTGCCCCTACAAAGTAATTCATATATGGTTTTACCCATGCTTCCTTCTATTCCCCAGCTGCAATGCTATCTTTATAAATATTTTCCTACTGCTTAATGTAGCTATGAATTTCATAAAGCTCAAGCTAAAAGCAGCAAGAAACAGCTGGATTATCACACTGGTGGTTCTGTTTTTGCATGGTCACTGTGCTCAGTGTGGAAAGAGAGTAAATAATGGCTATTACTGTTCTGATGAATAAGCCCCCGGTGAGGACAAAATCACAATTTCAAAAATAAAAGGGTGAATTCATATGCTTATTTTGGATATTTGTATTCCTTTTAACTGAATGTTCTCTTACACCATATTTTACTAACAAGGCATATAATTTGTTTCTTTCTTAAATCTGGAGCAGAATGTTCCTAAATAACATAAAATCCAAACTACTACCCCCACATTGCAGCTATGGCTTATAAAGTCAGGTTTTGAAATAAGCCTTAGAATTTCACTGAAAACCATTGTAGGCTTTTGTCTGTGATTTTTATAAAATACACTCCAGCAATCAGATGTGAATCATGTTCAAAGTCTTGAAAATCTGTAATCATGAGAATTTGAAACAAGAGAATGGAAAGAAAGAATAAAAAAGTTATTACTTCTGATATCAGAAGCTGCAGTTCTGTGACCAGTCATTTGTCTGAGACAAATATCTAAGACCTTGTCTCCTAAAAACAGAGGGATGAGGAATCAAACTAAATATTTAAGATTTAAAGATGCTTCCAAACAATTTTAGGAATTTAAGAAAGCCAAGCAAACAACACATTAAAAAAAAAAAAAAAAAAAAAAAAGACACCAAACCCCAAAAGAAACACACAATGTTCAGAAAATAGCAAGATTTTTTTCTAAACAGAAAAATATCAGCTGCTCTTTTAATATTTTACAAGCTCACATTTCCTTCTCCTTTGAAAAATAAAGAGACAAAAAGGCACTCTAACTGGCAACAACAATAAGATACATAATCCTTCCATAGACAGACTCTACTTGAAAGCAGAAAATATTATAGAAATATTTAAGTACAGAGCAAGACTGCATTTTTGGAAAGGACTGCTTAGTTATCCTCACATCATAAAGTTGCTTTTGCATCACAGAGTGAGTGTGGAGGAAACAGAAATGAAATAGATGCTCCTTCCACTTGCAGCTTAGCCAGATGTGGTCCAGGGAACAATTCTCTCTCAGCAGACAGCAGTGGGTGGAGTCTGAAGTACCTCCCATGCAGGTGGTACAGTGTGGCCACGGCTTCACCACACAGGTACTGCTCCAAATTAATTCCATGTGTAGATGAATTCAGCAAAATTTTTGCTTTCAGCCTGCACAGATTGGGAATTCCTTTCCCATGCTTTATTGAGATTGTGGCATATATTCTGGACAGAATTATAGAAATTTTATGTCTGATATATTCTATTTCTTTTCAGATACTTTCATAGAGACTTTCTCAACCTGTGTCAGTGGCTGAATAAAAAATTATGTACATAGGGTACTCATGTCTACCAGGTTACTTGTTGTTTATTTGGGTATTTAATATAAAATAATCTTACTTTAATTTCCCCATGTATACATTTTAAGGCAAAAGAAATAGCAATGAAATTTAAAAACTCCCTAACATTTGTATGCACTAATACAGGTTAGTTGCATTTAAGTTCACAATTAAGTTCTTTACTAGAGAGGAGTCTGAAAATATCTCCTGTGTGTTATCTCCTGGCTTCTTTTATGAACTGCATTTTATCTCAATTAGCTTAAGGCTGTAACACCTTTGACAGATTAGCATTATTTTACATCTGTTGTACAGAAATAAATCTGTAGCAAAAATATTATAAAGTTTCATATGGGAAGTTCTAGCAAAGACAAATTTATCATACAAGGATGCAGCTCCAAAATCTCTATACTCAAAAGTGTGTAATGGGATATTAAAATCCATGGGTTCTAAATGTATTTCCAAACACAGCAGTGTGCAGGCTTATGGCAGATGGTAACAGATGCCTGGGCTCATCCTCTTTATGTTTGTCTTTTTCCCAGCTCCTCAAAAGGCAAAACCCACTTGCTTATTTGTGTCCTCTGCAGAAAAGCTCACAGGTCCTGGCTCAGGGCCAGGTTTACCTACAAAGTTTACCTACAAAGTGAAATCAAATTCCCGCTAAAATTATTTTTAACCGAAATACAGCCATGATTTCACCCAGTGACTTCACCACAATGTCTCCAGAAGCAAGCCTGGAAAATGACCTTACACTGACACTGCAGCTCCTTGGATGTCAGCACTCAAAACTCTGCTGATTTTCTCAGAAGCACTCCTGAAAAGAAGGTACAATTAGGTGGTTTATATTGAGACATACCTGGATAGCTCTGAATACACCAAGTCACAAAACCCCCACTGCTCTAACATAGCAACTGTACACACAGGAATGATTTCTAAATGACAGACCTTAATCAAGAATAATACCCAAGCTCAGACATGAATAGGAAACATGTACCAGGTTACTCTCTAATTAAATATGGAGTCAAATACTTAAAATTAATTAATATGTTAAACCCTTGGGGTTTATCTCCAGACAGAGATTCTATAAGAGAATCACTGGATACATAAATTATCTTTTGAGAGAACAATGTTGTTTACCAGTTCATTTGTTTTGCAATGTTACTTCCAGAAATTACATTCCATATACATATTGGCCCACATCACATTGATCCGTAATTAAAAGATGATTATTAAGGTTACAGTGTTAAACTATCAAAAATTAGACATGTGCAGTCCCAGTTTCCCCTTAAGTGCAAACTCCCAGTCTTCCTTTCTTCCCCTCCCTATTCCCAGTCCTGTTCTGTCTCCCCACCACCCTAATGCAATCAGTGCTACTGAGGAAAACAAATCCCGATGTTCACAGATTTGGAGCTCAGATCTCACACAGTCCTCAACAAGCAGGAGATCTAATGGCACTAACAGTGCACTTACTGAGAGTTCTTCTTAAATTATATCATTTGTGATCTCTGTTTTCCATTTCCAGAGAACCTCAGTGAGAATCTTGCCAGTATGCAATGTTGCCAGCCCAGAGTCACAGAAAGCCACTAATACAAGTCAGTAACAGAGAGTAATCACTGCCACAGAGAAACTCATGCAAACATGCAATGGGATGCAGCAAAAACATCCTCTTCAAAAGGTACACCACCTTTTCTGCCTAATTCTACCAGTTCACCAAAAATATGCATCAGAATAAATTTAATCATGTCCAGATTTTTCTCTTATAAGCAGGGAAGGAAATAGTCAGCAGAGGAATGAGATAACAATCCTGGGGATATCTTCTGGTGAAGAACTGAACCTTAAAGGTACCTTGTATATATTCTGATGTTGTTTAGCTATACTAGCAACTCATATTCAGTAAGGAATAAAGGATTCCCATAACTTTCTACTGATTGGATTAAGCTTGGGTTCATCAAGACCAACTCATGGTTTATCTGAAGTCACCCATTATGTTTTTTATGAATGTATTATTGCTTTCTCTAAAACAATTCTGGAAGCTTTCAAACCTTAGCATAACCAGAGAGGAACTGCACCATTATTTCTTTTCCAGTCAGAAGTATTCCTTTTCCAGTCAAAAGAAGCACAGCTAATCATCTATAATTGCTTGATAAATGTCATTCAGCAGTGTTATAAAGTAGCTGGTGTTTGTCAAGAATGTCTCAAAGGGTAAATGATTATTTATTTCAAAGTTCAAAGGGTAAACAGAAATTTAGCTGGCATTACAGAGATACTCTGGCTGGAAGAATACCAGCAAATGTATTGGGCAGTTTTCCCCACTCTATAGTAAAGGATTAATTTTCACTGTCCCTTGCATGACCACTGAGTGGTATTTACTGCCACTTTTTTTGTTCCCTACTAACCTTTAATTTACAGTTCCTCCAGTGAGGTTCTTACAAACGCCTGAGAAATCATTAGCCAATTCCTGAAGTGCTAAATCCAGAGATAGGCACTATCCAAGGACACGCACAGCAGTAAAGCAATTCACAGTCAAACCAAAATGAAATTATTTGAGAATGACAGTGATTAAAAAAAAAAAACCAATTTCAGATTGGTATATTTTAATTCTATAAATAAGCTTGTATAGTTTTGCTGACACACAGGTTTTCAAAACAAGTTTCAAGACAGAAATTAAATTCAGAAATATTTAAAGCGCGCACACACACACACACACACAAAAACAACAGCAACAACAACAACAAAAAAACAAAACAAAACAAAACAAAACCCACCCAAAAGAACCCTGCAAGCTGATTTAGGAGCAAATTCTGACATCTGTACTCCAATTTTTGAGTCAGGCTGATAAAAACATTGTCATCTCTAACTACTGATAATGAATGCAATCAAGCCATCTCAAGAGAATTATGTTTCTGAATAAATGCCAATTATATGATTAGAACTTACTTAGCACTGTCATCACGTTATTCTGAACAAAAGCAAGTTTTCTTTTTTCTTTTTTGCAACTGCTAGACATACTGTATATCCAATATGGCATTAGGAAATTAAAAATCACACTATTGCCTAAGGATAAGATGCTTAAATTATAACTATTCACTTTGCTTCAAAAACCTCTATTTGAGCAGTATTTTATACATATTTTAATGTACAATCTCAGTAGAATATGGTGTGCAAATGTAGCATTGTATGTTTTGTTAGAAAACTAGAAACCATTTCTAAAATGCTTCAGTTTCTTGTAACTGAGCTTGTGTAACTTTTGAACTTGTGTTGTCTCCACTCCCTCACTGAATCCCAGCACAGAGGCTGAAGGGTTTCTTTTGTTTTGTTGGCAGAGACCACCGATACTCCTGACTACAGGGAAATACCACACGTGTAACCATAATGCTCCTGACTGAACAGGTTTTTGGAGCTTTTCTGCAGAAGTTTTCTCTTGCATAACCCTAAAATGCTCTATAAAAGGGACTAATCCCCTAGAAAACAAAATGGTTGAACTACTTACTTTTTAAAATTTTTTTATTTTATTTTATTTTCATTAGTGGAAAATACTTCTCAATAAATCTATCAGGATGTTTTCCTAGAGCCATATTTGAATGATGGACTCAGTCAAAAAGAAATGGAATGATTAAGTAGAAATAATTTGTCTAAAAGCAGAGGGGTAAAACTAACATCTCTGCTTCCTATCAATGAATTACAAAATTCCTTTCTTTGTAAAAGGGAGAGAGGAAACTTTTCAAAACCTCCATAAATCAAATAGCAGCAGCAGCCTGAAGCAGTCTAGACAGTAATGACCCACAGGTCAAGAAATGATAAGTATTTTAAGCAGGGATGTTTCTTAAATTCAAAGATTTGAATTTTAATTCATTTCTAAGTAAAAATGGTAATAGATACATATCCTTTCATGTCACATAAGTAGCAAAGATCTCTTACTTTTATTCAAACAGGGGATCCATATACTCAGGTCTCAGCCATCCTCTGCCTGAAAAGGTCAGAAGCAGTATATCAGGATCTGGAGAGGCAGAATTGAGGAAAAATTTGGATTCAAGACCAGAAACTTTGCGTTATTTCATGTTTAACAATCTCCTGCAGCAAAACCTACCTGTGCCAAGTTGTACAAAATAATCTTGACACTGCAGAAAGTCCTTACCTGTGGGAGTCATTGTAGGAAAACACAATTTCAAGTAATGTGATATTGCTCATGCAAGCTGAGACAAAAATATCAAAACTGCTTCTCCAAATAACATACAATGGGGACTTCAAGGTTTGTAGGCTTTTTGCTGAAATCTTGTGTTATGATTATTATCACACCCAAGCTGGCAGGCTAACAACAACAGAGCACAAACAACAATATCATGCCATGTGAGCAATGAGTGAATGACAGAATATTACAGCATTTCCTCTTAAAATAGATCTCCATAGTCTGTTCTCTGCTGTACAAACAAAACCAGGATGAAATTAGGCAAACAAGTAACTACCATTTGTCATGAGTGACAACAGTTAAGGGTGTGTTTCAAATTTCAGGTGTCCTGGAGAATGCTTCAACAAATATGTTAAATGCCTGCTTGTTCTTAAAATACTTACCTAAAGTGATTCTAAGAATAAATCAACCTATGGCAAACTTAGACAAAAAATCTTGAGCACACACTTGTTAAAGTGAATTGAAAGCAACATATATTGCTCTTATTTCCTTAACCCTTTCAAAAATACCATCCTTGCTATGCTTATTTTTGTCGTAGCTCATAGTGGACCAACAGACATTCAGTTTTTAGAACACTCATCTATGAAAACTCTCAAGATATTTACCTTTACTGAGATTTTGTCTTGCTAGCTATAAGAGTGCTCCACATTCCTGTGAGTACGATCAGTGGGACTAATTCCACATTGAACTGGAAGAATTGCAGATTCAACAGGAAGAAATGCACTCAAATACTCAAATATATTGAGATATCCTGTTTTATATCAATGCAATAAAGAGGAATAATCAGCTCAATATTTTCTTTTGGAACAAAGAATGCCTAACTCAGTGTAATTAGGACTAAATTCTCACTTTGAAGGAGATGACATAGTAGGAATATGTAAACAGGACAGAGGAAGCACCCAACAATTCATGTCCCTGACAATGAGAAGGAACTCATCCTAGGAATTCCAGACACATAGTGTGCCATATGGACCCTTGTAGACTAAGAATAAATTCTACTTCCAAAATGTCTTAACATTTATTAAAAACCTCTCTCCTTATTTCTTCTATAGTTTATTCTAAGTAAATAGTGGATATGTTGTGTCAGAGAGTAGGAGATAATCAGGAAAAATAGCTTCATTTTCAGATTCTATAAGAGACATTCTAGCATGCACTGATAATAATTGTCTGACACACCAAAGCACAAGGAAATGGATTGATTCTCTTGCTTGCCTCTGGCCATTTCACCTGGTCAGGATTATCACATTTAACTCCTTGGCACAGGACAGGGCTGGCAGCCAGTGGTTACTCAGTCACAACTAAACCCCCCATATACTTAGCAAAAACATGGACGTGAAGTGTAAACCACAATTTTAAATTTTAGTATTAAATTCTTGAAGAGGTAAATAAAAAACATTTTACATAAACACATTTATGGATGTTAAAGTGTTTATACAGCTAGGAGATTTGTTTTTTCCTCAACAAACCAATCATACCTGTAATAAAGTCTTTTGTAGCTGGAAGCTACAAAAATAGTCAAGTTCCAAGGTATGAAGATAGTGACACATGAAACAATGAGAAAGTCTCCAAAGTTGAATGAATTTTCAGAGAAAAAAAGGAACGTCATTAAGATAGAATTAAAATCAGTGGAAAAAGAATAGCTTGAATAAAACAGATTTAATCATAAGGTTGATTGAGATGTCTGTGAGAGTTGATAATGGTTTGCAATAGATTTATAAGTAAATTAGGTGTAATAGAAAGGTGTTAATTTTTAATGAGAAGAACTCTCATTACAGAAAAAAGAAATCTAGACTTTTAAAGTTTTACACTTCATTTATGATGGTATCGGAATTTGGTCTGAACCTGTGACACTTTTACAAGGCATTTTTGTGATTTCAAGAAGGTTTGCTTGCTGTGCAAGTTTGTAAAGCAGCCATTCTTTATTGGTTTCTGCTTATAAATATAAAATTAAAAAATATAATTAAATACATAATTATATTTTTGATGGCTTCACAAATATAATTTTATTTCCTAAAGATCATGTAGATATTTATTTCCAGGTACTTGGACCATAAATTGTTTCTCAGCTGTACATCACTGCTGTTCTGTTGCTGATCCAGAACCACAAAGGAAAGTTAGCATTTTTTGAGGAAAAAGGAAGCCAGTGCCCACAGCTCCATGCCTGAAACACACCTATTTCAGGAGGGCATTCATTGCTGGGAGCTGCAAATCTCCACAGGCACCTTCCTTTTATCTTGTCAGTGCTCAGAGGTTGTCAGAGGGCTGGAAATTAATCCATAACCTTGATGGCACTGATTCTGTAGGACAGGAGAGCATCCTATCACAGACCCTGTTTTGCAGGGCGCTGAAAAATGCTGCATGATCTCTCACAGAGCTAGGAGATGCCATTTCAAATATTAAAATCCAGCAGCAGTGCCAGGGGCACAGCCAGTGCCAGACCTGCCAAAAGAGTTTGTCAATCTCTGCTGCAGACATGAAGAAGTTGCTACAGCTAAATTTAATATTGAGCTCAGTTCCAGTACTCAACACTAAGCTCATCCTGTTCCCAGCCTGCCTTTTTTAAATATCATATTTCAGCCTCTAATCTACACAGAAGCAGAAGTTATCAGATAGATCAGTGCTCACAGCAGTGCTGAACACTTCATGCCTTTAAAATCCACTTGTTCATCTCCTCACTTGGGACAGAAAAGAGCCTGAAAGATCTTTCTTCCCAGAATTGCTGTAGCAAATACTGCAGGATGGGGGGAAAACCAACAACCCAAACCCATTATATTAACATTCTGAAGAGAGATGAAAACTGGATTTACATAGGAAGCAGTTTATGTACATATTAAATCTGATAGAAAAATAAGATTTATTAATTAACTTGAGCCTATTCCTACAGCATCTGTAGTAGTTATGGATATAGCTTTGAAGTCATAGTGTACTAATGAGAATATCGATAGATCTCAGCATGTTGTATCATTGCATGTATCCACTTTACCACAGGGTAAAAGATCTTGTCAGACAGCATCAAAATCCTGAGAAATTTTACAGATCCGTGTTGTGAAAACCCTTGATTACTCTTGGTCAGAAACAATCTTCACCATTTAAGCCAGATTTAAACCCCAGCTTTGCTGATTCTCTTTGACTGTGTTCTACTCTTACCATGTGCATCAGCTGTTTTTTCACACAACCATTCAATGCACTGTCATTACCTGTGACAGTGCAAATATCAGCGTCTGTATTCTGGTGTCAAACAAAGGACTTACCTCAAAAAAAGCATTATCAATAACACATCAGCCTAAAATGTTAGCAGAGTTGTTTGATAGGACTAGCCAGTGTTAGTATTAGGGATATTACATCCAGGGCTACTAAAACAAGACATCAGCTCAGACTGTGTGTGCATGTGTGTGCAGGCTGAAGATGCTGTGCAGGTGCCCACACAGGCACATTTCACACGCAGGCCCTGCTGCTTCCCTGAGCACGAGGCCAGCTGGGTGCACTGGAAGTAGTGGTCACAGAAACACAGAGATGTAAGTGGGTATATTTAAACTCCTCAGCTTTGCAATATGTCTGTTTTACTTAAGCACATCACTAGTCACAGGTATATCACATTACCTAATAGGCTCTCCTTTGGGGAGAAATACAGAACTATAATCTTCCATAAACAGCACAGGATGAAGACTTAATAGATTTTAGACCTATATTTTTCATATTTATCAATAAGTCACACACAATACTGAACAGGAAAATTATATTCTCAAAATCATCCAAAATACAATAAACACAGTTTGGAGATGCAAAAACCAGGCTAGAAAATAAATCATGGGATGAATATGCTGAATACAATTTGAGAGGGTAAATTTGGGATTTTAGAACTAAACCACCTGTCATTCTCCTTGAAGCGCTATGAAGAGAACAAACACTGCACAGCAAAGGTGACCTTTATTATAGCCCTCAAAGTTTCATCCCACAAGAGGACCTGATCACAGACCAAAACCTTAGTAATGCAAAGTATGGCTGTTCTGTTTTCCCTTGTTCTTCTATAGTAAATACTATTGACTTCCATATATTCATCTTATTGATTTTTTTAATTATATGCACAGAAAAAAGTGATTCTCAAATGTTCACTCTGTCACTGTGACTAATCATTTTCTCTCTCACCTAGATTTTACACCTTGAGGAAACAGTTGCATCAATGATATTTTCCTTTAAAGTGTCCTGCATATGTCTAAGAGATAAGCATTAATAGCCAGATAAACTTTATAAAGAGCAGGATGCTGTTTAAATACTAAATAAAACCAATAATCAATAAAGAAACTGGAGGCAGAGTATAAATTTCCCAGTTTTAAATAATTCCCTTCAGCCATATAAAATGCAGTGCTGACTTAATAGTTTCTTTTTCTCTTAAGTTCTTGAGTGAAAACGCTTTGTCTTCCTTCTTATTGTTTCCTTCTAATGAGTTGTTTTGATGCTCATAAAAATGTAGCTGTACACTAAATTTACTAAGAAATATTGCAGACTTTTACAATATCAGCAAATGTTGGTTTTTTTGACATTATTTACTAAAAAGTCACCTGAAGTGAAATTTGAAGCATGGTATAGAAAGCTGTCTACAAGGCAGCTTGTTGCCAGGCTATTGAGATTTTCTCAGGTTTACAGGATACTTAAAACAATGGTCAAAGTGATTTCTGAGTTCTTTATACTTACAACGCTGTGAGAAGATGGGAGATGGGACAACAAAGTATCTGTGTTAAAAAAAAAAAAAAAAAAAAAAAAAGAGAAAAAGTAAAAATTACAGGCCAGGCTGTTATCTTTAGTTCTCCCAAAGTTCTGCAATAACTTCTCCACCTACTTGTAACTGTCTGGGAAAAAAAAAAAAAAAGGTCATTCTTCTGTTCATTGTCAACAGTCTTTCACCGACGAATTAAAAACCTGTTCATATAGGAGCTACTTTGATATCCAGTGGCACCCAAACTGCCATGAGAAACATTCATCAGACTTCAAAGATAAAATTAGCAATGTATATAAAATACAGAATAAACAGTGTCTGAACACAGAGATGTATTACTAACTACCACTTATTGAGGGAACATGTGTCTATTTTCCAGCAGAATGCTGACAGCACTCAAAGAATAGCAATCATATTCATTCCAGAAATAATCATTAAAGAAAAAAAAAGCAAAGAGAAAAGAGGCATTACAAGAATCAGAATATTGTATTCACTGTGCAGAACTTGCACCAGCTGTGGCAAGGGTGTTACTCCTGTGACCCTTCTGGGTAAGTGGTGTGTTATGCTTTGCATGCACCAATTATGAGAAACACCTTCATCAGAGATATATAGAAACAAACTCTTTAATGCAAATGATTACAAGAAAGTAATCCACTTTATTCTCTAAAGTCTTTAAATTTTAGCTTTTTTGCAGAGCAAAACTGCACATAACTGGACTGGCCCACACGGAGTTCTTGAGAGTACTGTGACTTCAGTACTCCTGTAGTTCTTATTTATGCAACCTCCATCCATTTATCATTAATGAAGCACAGTCTCTGTTCAAATTTAACTCCAAGACTAGAAGGGCCTGAAAGGTGGAGCCATGGATTCGGGTTGTGCCAACATTACCAACATATTTGTTCTAGTACACAAATAGAGGAGCAAATGTGCAGCAACACAGGACCCTTTCCCAGTCACGTGTGATCCATCCCATGGAGATTTCAGTGAGTGCATTTTTGTGATAACCACCACATCACAGGGTAAGTGCTCCTGGCCCCTGAACAAGGGTACAAAAAGCAATTTGTGTCCTGCACATGAATAATTTGAATATAATTTGAAAAAGAAGGGTCACCAGAGAAAGACATGGTGAAAGAAAAAAGTTGTCTACTGTTTCTTCATGTTATTGAAGCTGTAAAATATTTAACATTATTCACCTGATGTTAGGCAATACAACTGACCTAAGTGCCAAACCTTATATACAGACCTTGTGGGCTTATCTTGGAAGTCTAAAGAAATATTTTCAGAGCAGCTACTCTATACATGAGAAAAAGGATGAGAGTGAAAAGAAAGAAAATATAAGAAAATATAAAACAAAATCAGTGTATAGAGTCAATTAATGCATGTGAGAAAACCAAACCTGGAAAAAATAAAAATAACTCAGGCAAGGGATGCACAAGAGATTAAGAAGAAAAATCTAATTCTCAGCTTTACTGAAGTAATTTAGTCATACACTTTACGATTTCTAAGGTTATTTGAAAGCCCAGTTAAACAAAAAAGCTCACTTTTGCCCCTCTCTTAATTATATCCCTTCCCTGGGGAGCTACTGGTTTTAAGGAAGAGCTGGTTCCTAACTGGGTTCTCACATGGAGATTGAACTGCAAATCACTTCTCAATGTGGTTCCATTGCAAGTACAGCTACTGTGGATATTCTATCACACTTTAATGAGTCAAATGGGTCACGTATTTATGTTTCTGCTCTCAGATCTAATTGAACTAAATAACATAAGTAATATTAATAATTATAATTATAATTGTAATTATAATGATAAATGCCATTATGGATATTTAAGGCTGGTATAATTGTTAATCATTTAATCCATCTTTGCTGTGCACAGTCTCAAGACCACATTGAGGGTAGATATCTAAACTAATGCATCTCTGGCTTCTTTCTAAAGACAATTTCTAAAGCAATTGAAATCTCTCATGAAAAGTGTTTTCGTTCAGGAGAAACAGTCATACAGTGGGAAAAAATCCCACTCAAGTTTGATGGTAGGATTGTCATGTAATGGTTTTGGAACACCATTCTTGTTAATTCTCATGGTTTTTAGATTATCCACAGTCCACAAATAATTAGTATTTCTTCAAATTATTTTCCTATTTACCTTATGAACTACACCATGATTAGGTTTATAAGTGAGAATTTGTCACCAGAAATTGAGAAATGAAGGGCAAAATGTAATCTATTCCTGAGCTATGTGGGACTGAGCAGGGAACTTTCTACCCCTGCTTAGAAAACTTAAAGAAACCATTTTTACAGGTCCTGTAAGTTTGGGTGGTTTTTTTTTTTTTTCTTTAGCTCAATGTAGATTTTCCTGGGATTTTAATTGGTTTGTTAACATGTGTTCACTCATTAACTGGTTCACTAAGGTTAACTAAAGACTAATGTCTTATTTAAAAATATTCTGTCATTACCCTGCACCCACATATTTCAGCTCAAGAGCAACAGAAGGTGTTTGGCTTCCCGCAGTGTTATTTAAAGACCTATAGAAATAGACATCATTTTAACCTACGTCTTTATTCACTATTTTAATGTGGGCTTACAGCCTTTTTGTTTAGAATGTGTTGCAATTAAATAACTCATCCACGTAAAATAAAGATTATTGCCAGACTTATTTAGATGTAACAAATGTGACCTTTTCTTATTTTCATTTTGAAAATAATAACATGAAAAATGTTTGGTCTTAGTTAAAAAAAAATCAAGTCCACATATCTGTATATCTAAAAATCTTTATCTCACAAGAAAAATGTCAGTCAAAGAATCATTGGGGAATATGTTCCCCATTAAGCTTATTTTATTGACTCACTTTTCCACTATTTCTGAATTTTTCCTTTCTCTTTTTTGTTTTAATTTTGTAACATTGAATTAGAATATCCAGTCTAATGCTGTGCTTGCAACCATAGAAAAAATGACAACATTTTCTAATGGTCTTTTCTCCTTTAATTACTACATTGATAATTATAGTTCTAGATTTAGATCTCTGAATGTAATAATTTTTTCATTCCAGTCTCAATAACAATGAGTAATAGAAATTCATAAGGATTAGAATATACAGACTCTTACAGATAATGAATCAATTTCCATTTTTTGGTTTACTTTGACATAGGCAAACCAAAGGGCAAGAGATATTTCCATGAAAACAATTAACAATGGTACATCAGTAAAAATGGTTTTCTGTGTTACAAGCAATTTGCATCAGGAAAAAATTACACCAAATGTTTTTTGTTAAATATTCTGTTAAGAGAATTTAAAAAGGGTTGTGGAAGGCAGGACACATAAGTTTCATAGCTGCACAAAATATCCTCTGGTAGACATTACAGACAGCCAGTAAAAGTACCTGGGACATTGCAATGAAAGTAGAGACATGAAAAAACTGTTCATTCAATCATTTAGGAACTGCACCATATTGACAGCTTTTTTTTTAATGCCAAGAGTTCCACTTTCTTCAACTCCTGCCCATGTTCCTGTATCAACAGCATCTGATCTCCAAGGACCAGAATGGGAACTGCACAGGCTGTGGAGGGTGTGCAGGAGGTGTTGGGTTCATTATGGACCAGGCACAATTTCCCTTTCAAAGACATTCTAATTCCAATGCTGCTGCATAAATCCCTTCTGTAAACACCTGGATCTCTCATTCTTGATCTCTTCTAATGTGCAATGAAATACAATAAGACATCTTTGGTGCCCTGGAATGATGTCACACTGAAATATGTTGAACATCTATGACACATTCTCTCCTGGGGAGAAGAGTACAGGATTTTTTTTCCTGAAAAAACATGAATATTCCTTTTTGGTCCACAATTCATATATCCTTAGTAAATAGCTTGCAAAACTGACTAGCTGAGAATAAAAGAAAGAGGTTTCATGTGTTTCTAAAGCTATAGCTTAAAATGAAAAGAGCATTTTTCTAAATAAGCAAAGGAAGCCATGTGAAAGTAGGACATGACTAGTTTATGCATCAAAATGAATGATAATAGTATCAGTGTGCAACAGTTTGTCACTGTTTCAGATGCTGTATTTTTGCTCCATTGCTTTGGCATACTTTTTTACTATGTGAGACAAATGTAAGAATTGTTTCCCTGATGGTCAATACTGCACAGAGACTCCAAACAACTGCCACTGACATTTCATTGTCACTTTATAGTGTGGGAAGGTGTGACACTGACTCTATATGGAATATGACTGGAAAATCCCTTACTAGTACCCTTGGCTGGAATTCATATCTCAATAGTAAAAATTTATGCCAAATTTTCATTTTTATAACATTATCACATATACTGCAGGACATCAGTTACTTGCAACCTATGAAATTATCAGGCTTATGAAATCACATAAGGTTGAAGAGGGGTAGTCTGCCACTGGTTTTGTTAACAGTGGATAACTTCTGTTCCAGAAGTAATGAAAGATCAGTAATTGCAGTAATTTTTGTTAATGAGGTTTTAGTTAATTAGTCAGGGTTTTCTTGGGGGGTTTATTTTTTTTTTTAAAGAATTTCCAGTGTCCCGTTAAATCTTCAATCTGTTGAATAAAAGATAAACAAGTGAGACTCTGAAAGCAGGATGTGTCTGCTGATTCACTTGGTTTAGAAAGCATGGGAAATTGTGTTTATCTCTTACCTATAAGCCATTATTCCTGATGTCTAAACTATTTCCTGGGAGTACAAGACTAACACATGTATCTGTCAACAAAATGGGTCACCTCTATACTCCTCTATATTTTCTTTAGTTGAAATCAATAAAGAAGAAATCAGAAGCATCAGACACTGGAGGGCAGGAATGACGAAGTGCTTAACATTTCTCCCTGATGTCTGTATCACAAGACACATGGCTGCTTCCCAACTATTTTATCAGTTGTCACATTTTACCTGTTTGTGCATCCTCTGGCCCCTTCTAATTCTTTTGCCTGCTAAGATATTTTTGTCTTTGTTACAGGCTTATGAAAAATAATGCTGAAACATATTTTAAATTTAATTTTTCATGCTTTGCATAAAATTAATATGCAAAACACAGCTACAGATAACATCTCCCTCAGTATCACACATACAGAAATCACAGTGCAGGAAAAAACAAACATGTAAACAATGCAGTGCTAATCCTATTGTAATTAATGTGCATTGTTTTCATTGACACATAAATGAGGGATGGGTTATAATTATTTTACTGTAAAAATAATCATTATAAATAATTTATACTTTTCTAATCATTTAAAAGAGATTGCTTTATGACCTAGAGTGAAAGCCAGCACCAGCATCATATGACATACAGAGGAGTGAAATATAAATCAGTATTAATGCAAAGTAGACACAGCAGCACCAAATCACAAAAACAGTAAAGGAGACAAATTTTCACCCTTCCAGAATGCATCTCCTGAGTATGCCTTGGCTGCAAGGTCATCAACTCCAGATATAAAACCTGGAAGTATTACTCATTGGCAGTGGTGTCACTACAGATGATTAGTCTGGTAACTGATTATGACACCTTGTAAGGCACACAGGAAGGTTTCAAATTTTCTAGGTGACTAAAATAG